AAAGACGGCAGCAGCAGCGCATGACTTGGCATTTGCTCTCGGCGTGGCGTCCGTGCGTCCTCACAGGCTGGGCGTCCTCTCGGCGGCGCCGGAGATGACGGTGAGCAGGTTGTTGCCGAAGGGGTCGCTGAGGTGCTTGGCGAGGTTCTCGACAGGGCCTTCGCCGGTGACGTAGGCCTGGATGAAGAAGGCCAACATGGAGAACATGGCGAGCCGGCCGTTCTTGATCTCCTTCACCTTGAGGATCGCGGCCTGGTCGGGGTCGCTGGCCAAGCCCAGGGGGTCGAAGGGCCCACCGGGGTGCAGCTTGTCCTCAAGGTCCAGTCCGTTGATGATTCGGTAGTACTCGGCGCCGCCGACGAGGACGACCTCCGCGATCACGGCCACCACCAGGTTGATGGGGATGCTGTTGCCGAAGTAGCTGAGGGTGTTGCCGTCCAGGAGCAGGGCGCCGGTCTGCATCCATTCAGGTGACAGTGACAGACACCATCCATGAGCTTTGAGTTCAGATTTTCAGATTAAGATATTGCTACTTTGTTGTATCTACCAACTAAAATGTGAAATCTTTGTAAAACTGTGTTGCGTTCTATTTTGTTCTTAAATAAATGCAATGACATGCAATTCTCCGATATATATCTGAATCTTTTCTTTTGGGAATGGTATATATCTGAATCTGAGAAAGAAAAAATTGCTACTGAAGTAGTATGATGATTCTGAGAGGTGGTGATCAGGACCTTGAACCAGACGGCCTCAGGGCCGCAGTTAGCGCCGAACTTGTTGCAGGCCTCTGGAATGACAGCGCCAGCGGCACCGAGCATGGCCCATCTGGCATGGATCAGCTCGTAGGCCTGGTACCTGCACGGCGTTGATGGTAGGATAAGATTTTGCTGAATAGTTGAGACTATAATCCAATTCTTTGCTTGTATATATTGTACGTGAGTGAGACTAGAATCTCAATGGTCAGGCTGTGAAATTATATGTTTGGGATAGAGATCTGAAACTCACTTGGCGAAGTCCTCTGGTTTCTTGCCCAGGCCAAAAGGGTCGTAGCCATAGCTGTAGATTGGAAGAGCAAAAAAGTTCAGTTCAGATACGTTAACGTCGATTTTCTGCAGCATTTCATTTCAAGAAAAGTAGAGGAAAGGACGGCCTTAATTGCTGAAGATTGTTGTTTAAAAGTGTAACAAAGATTAGTTCAAATTTCAAATGCTGGCTTAAGAGCTTGCGAAACTCGTGTACTTTCAGAACGAATTCTACAAACAGCAATGATGCGGCATTTTGGTGAAAAATCTGATATTGACTACAAAATACTTTTTTTCAAGAAAAAACTTCTTTTGTTCTGGTCTATGAAATTGCTACTTTTGTTTAAACTGACTTGTAGTACTAACCTGAAATCAAAATTTTCTGAAACAAACAAAAACCCTTATAGAAGGCAAAATTGGAGCCATGTGACTTACTCTCCAGGGACCTCTCCGGTGAGGTACTCCGGCACCTCCGAGCGGTCCAAGAGCCCATCCGGCAAGAAGATCCTCCTGTCAGGACCTAATGGGACATAGAACAAGAGATAATTACTATACAAGAACCTTCTGAAGATTTTCATGGCCAAAGTTCTATATCTCAAACATAAAACAAGAGACAATTACTACAGAAGAAGCTTCTGAAGATTTTCATGGCAAAGCTCTATCAAACGCCCAACAAAAGGGAACCCTGAAGCAAATTTGGATCCTAGAAGTTGTGCACTCCTAGCAGTTGGGGCCAGGTCTACTCACCATACCACTTGGCGAGCTCGTCGCTGATGTCTGGAGAAGAGGACGAGACCGGAACGGGCTTCGGCTTCTGGGCAGGCTTCTTGCTGAAGAGGGAGATAATCTTCTGAGCCCCCGCGGTGGGCGTTGCAGTGGCGTAGCGGGAGGAGCCGGCGAATTTGAGCTGGGTGCCCAGAATCTTTGATGGAGCGAGCGCCGCCATTGCCGGAGACCCACAATTCAGAGAAAGATTTGCAGGAGGGGATGGCTGATGGGTGTTTGTGGAGGAAAAGGTGAGCTAGTTTAAATGGATGAAAATGAGGATCGGAGGATGCTGTGGGCCCAGCAGAGATTTGGCCATGGGAGCTGCCATTGGCTGGGTTTCCATGAGGGCTATCTGTTGCTTGGATGAGATTGGGCAGGCTGTGCTTACTTGGCAGATGAGGGTGTTGATGTGGCAACTTTAGAGAGTGCTGATGTGGCAGCTTTAGAGGGTGCTGATGTGGCAGCTTTTGGGCCTCTTGTGAACTTGTTTGTCAGTTGGGGCCAAATGGTCCAAACAGGATAGATAGGTCCAAACAGGATAGATAGAGACCCAGGGTAACGAACCAGAGGGGAGAGAGAGAGAGCCAGCCAAGACAACAATTGCAGGCCACACACTGATACCAGAAGGGTGGAGAACACACGCACAAGCACGAAACATAGTTCATCTGAAGCTCATAGCATCAAATTTCCTCCAATTTAACAGTGATGAGCAACCCACAATACAGTGCACTGTAACTAATAAACATCGACCAGAAATCATATGTATTGTCTCAGGATCCTACCTAGATACAAAGCTACTAGCTGATGAGCAATAGAAAGTCATGAGATGCAACAGGCTGCACTCTAGGGCTAAGTCTTACTGCCTGTTCAAGATAATTGCTACTTGCAATCTCCGTTGACACAGTTCAAGATGACTAATAGAGATGACAATGCAGCGGTGCAGCTCAACGCCATTTTTCAATTCCTTTTGATGTTGCTGTCACAAACTTCTTGGTGTTTATAACCAGCTCGTCAAATAAACCAACAACAGTGTCCCTGGAAAAGAGGAGTGAGAAATGATGAGCAACATCACACAACGATAAGAATGTTCTTTTATTAGCAAATTGGTGAAGTTTTGTCAAAGACATGACACACCCTGGAAAAGGTAATAAGCTGGGAGACTAAATAAATCTCATGCTATTTTACTATTTATGGCTACTGACTACAGTATTTCTTCTAATCGGAGAATTAGAACCATCTTCTCAGTGGAGAAAATCATCTAATTGAGTGCGCTTAGTCTGTTCAAAAATTTAAAAGAGAATGCTGATAGTTCAGTAGTGTTTCTTCAAGACACAGAATAATATAATATTACCATGACACCAGAATGTGGATTAAGGAGTTTATTGCAATATAAATCCATACTAACCCTACTAAATTACAGGTGTCAGTTATATCTTGGGTACTTTTGTAGTTAACATCTGTTGCTTGCTCTTGCAATTTATTGGGATAGGCAGGTGACCTGCGAAGGGCATGTGTTATGTACAGCAACTGCACATACATATTGCCACCACAGCATGAGTTCTTGGCAAAGAGACCTCAGGATAAGCAGATACTATGAAGCAGCAATGTCACACAAGTTCCTAAATTTTTGGCCTAGCCATGAAGGCGAACCATTCCTCCTTTCTGTCCTCTTGTGCAAGAATGAAAGGCTGCCCAAGCAGCTGCAGGAGAAGATAACAGTAAGATTAAATGGGCTTTCAAAACGTTCATTATTAAATTTGAGTCTTTTCCTGTGTACCATTATAAAAGTTTGCAATTCCATATGTGCCATTAAAAAGTTGAGCGGACACAGGTGCCACTGGTCCGATTTTTTTGCCCTCCACGCCATTTCGTCCATGTTCCGTTGGGTTTTCATGGTTTGGCAGCCCTGACATGTGGGGCCAGCCAGTGAAAATTTCCAGAATACCCCCACTTGAATAGGCCACTCATTCTCAACTATATCCCCCTCCGCTCCACCACACCTTCTCTCTCCACTCATTCTCAACTATATCCCCCTCCGCTCCACCACACCTTCTCTCTCTCTTCACTCTGCAGTCTGCACGCTGGGCCCGCGCGCATCGCAGGCAGGCACGATAGCGCCGTTGCGCATGCAGGACCAGTGAGCGAGGCTGCTCGATTTCTGGCTGCAGGTGGACAGCGCCAACAAGTATGGGACCTTGCTGGAGGTGGTTCAGATGCTGACCGATCTGAAGCTGACCATCAAAATCAGGCCTACATTTCCTCCGACGGAGGGTGGTTCATGGATGGTGTGTGCCGTGCCGCTGCCTCCTTCCCTGCTGTCTTTGGAAAGTTTAAGAAGATAGATGAGAGAAAGATGGTGCCTTTGTGGGGTGATGCAAAGTCTGGCTTTTGCTTGGGTTGTGATCTTTCTACCTCCTTTTTTTCTCCAATCCTGATGTGTGATCTGTGGTGGGTGTGTGGCTTTGCTTTGCCTTTCTGCAGTGTTCCATGTCGTGGATCAGGATGGGAATAAACTTCATGATGACCAAGTCATTGACAGAATTGAACAGGAAAAGTGCAGAGGTCCCTGTTGAATGTTGATTGCTATGGTGGCTGTTCAATGCCAGCCAAGAACAGAAGGATTGCAGAGCAATCTTCAGTTTCGGTTTTGACAATTTGATTCGATGCCGTGCTGATTCCAATTGACTTGAGTGGTGCAGGAGGAAACGAAAGAAAATTAGAACTCTAACTGACTTGAGGGCAAAATGGTCATTTCATTCATCTGTTTGACACCGTTAGAGGCAAATATGGACGGAATGGCGTGGAGGGCAAAAAAGTTCGGACCAGTGGCACTGTGTCCACTCAACTTTTTTAATGACACATATGGAATTGCAAACTTTTATAATGGTACGGAGGGAAAAGTTTTCCCTGTTTGCCATTATAAATATTTGCAATTGCCATTATAAAAGTTAGCAATGCCATATGTGCCATTAAAAAAGTTTGCAGTTTCCACCTTGACTTCTAGATTGCACACCATATTCAGAGGGAAAAACAGCAGTTTAGCATATCATGCTTCATGGCACCATAATATATTTGAAATCAAATGTATTGACAGAACGTGCTGATTTGAGTTTCTGACCACGCAACATTAATTTCAAATTAAACTGGAGAGTTTTCCTTTTTCTTTTTGGTAGTGAGCAGACCATATAGAGTTGAAATGAATTACTGGCACTATGGCACATGATTTTTGAGTATTATTACAAGGTCATCCTTAACACTAATCAACAATAACAAAGCATTATAAAGACTAAAAAGACTTCATTAATTCAATAAGACTATTGTTGATGTGAAAAGATTGAAACTAGCCACCACACAAATAAATCAGGTAAAAGAATTATTATTGCAAACTTAGGACTCATGCCATATGTAGAAAAAGCTACCTACAATGCAAACACCATGAATCAAAACACCTGTGAAAACAAATTTGCCAAATTCTTTTCTTGTGTCCACATTAAACTTACGTAGGCAGATGTGAAGCTTCCTGGAACATTTTGCCAACATTGGAGTATCTTTTGTTTTCATCATATGCAATTCCTTTGCCCAACCCATAACCAAAGCCAATTCCTACACCACATCCAGCTCCAACTCCAAAGCCTAATGTGAGTCCAGGAAATCCATAGCCTAATCCTGCACCTAAAGTAATCATGGAAAAAATATAAGTGTGCAGACATACAACATTCATGATGAAAAACAAATTACTTAAAACATCTTTTCTACGTTTAGTGTAAAATAATAACACAGGCACACAACCACTAAATCTCCATAACTCCTAGTTTCACCAATCTAGAAACATATTAAGCTTTGAAAATAAAAATTATGCATATATATGCTCTAATGTTAGGTGTGAGCAACAAGAACCAGTTGATAAGTAAAAATCATTTCATACATGTATGTCTCTGGAGTCTGGAGTTCATGATTCTCCGTACCATATTTTATCATTCAGAATTTCACCCTGTGCTTAAGCCAAGTGAGCTTTTCAGCCTCAAAGTTCAACTACAACAAGGTCATTGTATCCTTCACAGTCTTCTAGATATTTAGATGTACACTCACCTGGTACCATGTGGGGCTTTCCTATGTATGGTTTACGCCATAGGATATATGTCAATACACTCACTCCCTCAGCCCCTCCCCTAGGTCTTTTATCCCCTAAAATATAGAACCGGATCTTCCATTTATTTAGTTGGCTAAAGTGGACATGAGATCCGCATCCGTCAGATAGTGTATCATTTTTTTTTCAATTCTGAAGGGCGGGCTTGGTGCAAGCGGTAGAGTCTTACCGCCTGTGACCGGAAGGTCCCGGGTTCGAGTCGCGGTCTCCTCGCATTGCACAGGCAAGGGTAAGGCTTGCCACTGACACCCTTCCCCAGACCCCGCACAGAGCGGGAGCTCTCTGCACTGGGTACGCCCTTTTTTTATTTTTCTGCTGACTTTGGTAATAATGTGTTTCAATTCAAACATCAAATTGTCTGAGATGGAAAATTTTGATGTTGTAAGAGCATACATGCTTACTCCCTCTGTCCCAAAATAACTACACATCTCACTTTTCAAGGATCAAACTTTTTAAGTTTGACCAAAGATATACAAAAAAAAAATTATGATGCTTAATAGGTATCATTAGATAAATACTGGAATATAGTTTCATACTAAACATATTAGGAGATACAAATGTGGATCATATTTTCTAAAAATCTAATCAAAGTTTAAAAAGTTTAACTCGTCGAAAAGCGAGATGTGCAATTATTTTGGGACAGAGGGAGTACACAGTTCTGAATACACATAAATCAAAAAGTTAAGTAGGAAACCCAAAGTCCAGGAGTTATACGTTTGTTTTTTGTTTGGAAGTGACACAACATTTAGTCCACAAATAATCAGGAAATTAACCACAGCTTGTTAGGCAGGAATAATTATCCTAATGCCCTCAAGGATTAAGCAGTGAAATGCACATCATTTCAGATATTTAATAATTGTTCTATGAGCATCTGCCTACTTCCAGTGTCACCCGACTGCCGGATAGTGCCCAAGTTTTTCAGAACACTGCCTTGGTGCTAACACTTAGCAAAAACATATATTGTTAGGAATAATGCCTACACTGTCAACTTCCCGACCTTAGGATAAGACGTTTTAACTGAACCGGTGAATGTTATAAAAAATTGTGAAATATCTTCTGATATGATTCCATATTTAGGACTGTGATCATGCACCAATCGCAACAATCTGTAACTGATAAACCCTTGAGTAAACCTATCTTACATGAGAAAGGCCAAGTCCTGCAATCCTGATAGTATACCACCTGCACCTATAATCAATCTACTAATAGATAATTTAAAGAAAAAAAATCAGAATCGCTACTGATTCAGAAAAAAGATAAAATCTCTCAGGAATAAATTAAGCAACGCCAGATCAGGGAATCCTCAAAACCAATCCGCAGGTTCCGAGGAAACAAATCTGTTTGAACAACTGCAACTTGGGGGAAACCATATCCTCACTAAAACCCCCGACCTGGTATGTGGTAACCAGAGCGATGATGACCTATGGCCAAAACTACATAGCCTGAAGAACAAATCACTAAGAAGACAGATTATAGAATAACCAACCTCGCCAGGCAACCAACAAAAGGGATGGTAAATAAAGTACGCACCAATCTACCGAAGCTCAATCTCATTTAGGGTACCCTAATCGACCGAATCAAGAACTGACAAGAAACCAAAGAAATGCTACCATTTTCAAGAAGAGAGGGGAAGGCCGGGGCTTTTACCGCCGAAGAATCCGACGCCTGCGCCGGCGCCGCAGCCGATGCCGATTCCGAGGGCGGGGCCTATCTTGCCGAGCTCCTTAGAGGTGACCTTCGGCAGCCTCCACAGGAGGCCCTTCTGGTCTCCTCCGCCGCCTCCTCCCTGCTTCTTCGCCCCCATCCGAATCTTCTCCCTTTCTCAGCTCGTTCTGCTTCCGCCTCGGCCCTTCCAAGGCTTTCTGTTCCGGTTTTGCCGTGTGTGTTTCGTGTCGAACTGGCCAACTGAACTGGGAGACGAACTGGAGAGGATCGGTCTCTCGTGGACCCCCTTGGTTGTCACCATCGTCCTAGAATGCTAAACGTATTCTATATAAAGAAAGTTTACTAATTTTGATTAATATGACATGTATATTGGCTTCTCTCTGTTGGGTTATCGTTGAAGTGGCATATCTTCTCACAATGTTGTTCCTCCTCTAGTGTTGTTCAGGTTCCACAGTTGTGTGGGCTTGCCAAATTTCTAAGTGAGAAATGACTAATATTTGCGAGACAGTTGATTTGTGTTTCTTTCATCAGTTGATTTATTTTTTAGTTTATAATAATTTATGTTAGTTTTATGATTTATGTATCTTTTCTAGACGCCACCAAAGATTTAGCACGGGCAATATACTAATATATATCTAGTCAAATTATATAAAAAAATAGGATCTAAAATTTGCATCAATAATTTATTTATATTTAATGTGTATCTAAAATGGTATTAGTAAGAAACATGGGTCATTGATAGTTGAGTGACAACATAACTAACGAGACTTTGCTAGTATATAAAGTGCTTAGCTCGTTTGGTTAGGGGTAATTGAAAGTAGGGAATGGGAGTTCAGAGATAATAAGAGTTCAGAAATCTTTTGTTTGTTTTGTGAGAGTGGGAGTTTTGATGGAAAGGGAATGGGAGTTTAGAGGGCCAACTCCCACTAATCAATTCCCTAGGGAGGGGTGGTAATTGGGAGGGAATTGTGCTCTTAATAAAAGAAAAATACATCCATCGTGATTTGCTATATAATTTTCCTCTCAAAACCCCCACACCAAACAGGGTATATGAATTCCCTCTTCAACTCCCTCTCTTATTTCCCTCCACGAATCAAACAAGGGATTCGGAATAAAAGTCAATTTTCCATCTTAACTCTCTCTATCAACTCCCACCACTATTTCTCATGCCTCTTCCCTTTAATTGCCAAACACACTTAGTCTTATAGATGCAAGAGATAGATCACGATGAAGATCAAAGGATCAACCACCTCAAATATAGAAGAAGTATACATATTGAAGGGCTTAGAAGACATGCAAAGCACATAAGACATCAAAAGAGATCAAAGTCATAGAAACCAGGGACAAAGATCGAGATGAATGGATTGATCTTATCTCATAATTTTTGATCCGCCCAAAATCCGAAATTGTGTTGTGCTGAGAGTAAAGCACCCAATTTCTCCTATGATACTGCTCATTTCTCTCATGCTACTGTTTATTTCTCCATGATACTATTCGTATCTTATGTGGTCTACTTCACCTCTTAATTTAAAAAAAATCCAGGTATTCTGCCTTCTCACCTAAAAACAACAATTTGGAGTTTCACCTCTATGCACATCTAACTATTGGATTCGATTCGTAAAATGAGCGAGCTTTGGGTTGGATTAAAGGCATATACGTAAGAGTTTTATATTCATAGAAACGCCAATACACCATGACACACGAAAATCCTAATTAATTACACTATTCCACGTGGTCTGTGTAAAAGGACAAAGACAGAAGCACGCGTGGTGGCTTGTAGTGGCACACAATGTTGACGATGTGAAGGCATGTGGTGGCAGTGGCACTTGACCTCGTGTGACCTTGTCGACGAGGGCGTGCGACGGCCGGTCACGTAGAGGGATACGTTGAAGAGGATGATAGAAGGTTGAAGGATATCGTAGCTAACAGGTGGACCCGTGTTGCAGTGGCATTGACATGTGGGCCCTATAGATGCTCAGCATCGAAGCCTCCAATGAAAACCATTTATGGCTTAGTAAATGGTTTTGGATAGATCAGGATTGAAATACCTGAATTTGTTGGTCCGTGAGTTAAGTAGACCAACATCCAAGTTCAGATTAGTTACACAGTCTTTTTTCAATCTTCTAGACTTTTTATATTTTATTTCTAGTTATATTATACGTTATCAATAAAACACTCTTGTTTCTAATAGAAAACGAAGCCAAACTATAAAAGAATAGTTTCCAAGTGCACACCACTAAACTGTAAATTTATTTGTACTGACTGTTTTTTTAGTCTACCGCTAGTAATGACGGTTTTTTAACCTAGCTAGCGTCATTATAAATAAATTAATTTCTTTGACGTTTTCAAATGATCTTGGATGGAGAAATGATCTGAACAAAAGTTTTAGTATTCGAAAAGATCTACAACTTTGTAGTTGATAACTTTTTATTTAAAATCATTTAGGGCTAGAAAATTGTGTTTTAAGATTAATAGTTTTATTTTTTTAATTTCTCAAATGACCTCGGATGAGAAAATGATCAAAAGCAAGTTGTAGATCTCGACGAGATCTACAACTTTGTAGTTTTTTTTATTAATCCGTTTAAGGCTTCAAATATCCATTTCAAAATATGTTGAAGTGAATACTAAGGGAATATTTCTGCTATTAAGTCATAAGTGACTTTGGGGTGTAGTGGTAAGGGGTGTATGACGCGAGGTTTGAGGTGTTGAGTTGAATCTTAGGAACAACATATGTTGTATTTCTCGCGAAAATATAATTTTTTTGCTATTTTTTGAGCCTGATCTGCAATTTCTGAGAAATCATTTACAATGTGGTTTTCTTAAGAAAATTGAGTGTAAATATTTATAGTGGTGGTTCTTAGATGGCATTAGTAAAGTTTGCTGATTTCACACCGGCGCTGGTAAATTTTTTTTTAAGTTTGCTGATTTTACACTAGCGGCCAGCAAAAGCGCCGGTCCTGTTCGTTTTACTGAAATTTGGCTGATGCTGATGTTGATTTTCGTGTGAGAGAAAAACACTATTATTTCGCTGAAAAGTACCGCTGAAGAACGGGGACGAAAAGTACCTACAGTAAAACCGTTCTGTGTACTAGCGATAGGAGATCATCTTCTATGAACATTTTAAGGAATAAGGATACATGAGATGGTATATCTTGGGGAGCTGCTGCTTGTATTTCCAGGTAAAGATCTCACTAACCCACACGGCCGCACCAAACATTAGGTGCCTAGTCCTCATCACCCACCTCACAGACCAGCTGCTGATGTTACGACGTTTTGCTGAATCTTGAAGCATCGACCAATGCAAAGTCCAAACCAAAGTATTGCCATCCCAACGCACAACTGTTGGCAGGCACTGCACTCGAAAGGCCAAAAAGGCTAAAAAACAGAACACATCCTCGCTCAGAGTAGGGAGTGTGCAGTGTGCTCCTGAGCAGGATGACGAGTCCCATGCACGCGCGGAAGGCCAAGCTCAAGACCCACCTCATCTCCGCCAAGGCGAAGCTCAAGCACAACGTCACCCCGCGCCGCGTCGTCCTCCTCGCTGCCGCCGCCACCTCCGCTTTCCTCCTCGTCTTCACCCTCCGCACCCTCCACTCCGCCGCATTGCGCGGCGCCAGAGCAGGCGCCGCTGGCGCCACCGCTGCTCCTGCCGCCGCGTCCACGCCGCCCGCCGCCGTCGCCGACGCCCACCACGCTGATGACCAGCAGGAGCAGCAGCACCACCACCACCAACAACAAGAGTGCGCCAGCAAGGTGCCGGCGTCCGTCGCGGAGGCGCTGGTCCACTACGCGACGTCGAACGAGACGCCGCGGCAGACGGAGGCCGAGGCCGGGGCCGCCGCGCGCGTGCTGGCGCGGCGCGCGCCGTGCGGCCTCCTGCTGTTCGGGCTGGGACCCGACAGCGCGCTCTGGGCGGCGCTCAACCACGGCGGCCGCACGCTCTTCCTCGAGGCCGACGCCGACCGGATCGCCTCCGCCCGCGCCGCGCACCCGGCCGGCATCGACCTCCAGGCGCACACCGTCGCGTTCCAGCAAGAGGCCATGACGATGACGACGCCGTCCGACGGAGACCTCCTCCTGGTGGCCCTCCGCAACTCCTCCGACTGCGCCGCCGCCGCCTCCCCGGCGAAACCTCTCGCCCCGGACCACCTGGAGCAGTCGCCGTGCGCGCTGGCGCCGCGAGGGCTGCCGGCAGCGTTCTACGAGGCGGAGTGGGACGTGATCGTGGTGAACGCGCCGGTGCCGGGCGCGATATACACCGCCGGGGTGGCGGCGAGGGCCCGGCGCCCGGGGACGGGGGAGACGGACGTGCTGGTCCACGGCGTGGATGGCACGGCCGAGGAGAGCCTCGCCAGGGCGTTCCTGTGCGAGGGGTACCTCAAGGAGGAAGCTGGCAGGCTCCGGCACTTCTCCATTCCGAGCCACAGGGACAAGGACGCCATGCCATTTTGCCCTTGAGATAGACATTAATATGCTAATAATGATATACTCCTAATTGATATATGCTACTATTACAGGAGTTAGAGTCTTAGAGATCGAATAAGCATTCATAAATTTAATCTGAAGTTCAGAATTTTTTCGTTCTGGTGAAACAGCATTTGACGCTGTGTCTGGTGTATGTGTGATTTCGTTTTGGTTTTTTTCCCCTTATTTTGTCGGTGTTTGTTTATAATCCTTGGGGGAATGCGATCTGGAGTTATATATGAACTCCAGGATGATGAAATGGACATTCCATAAAAGCCCTTTTTGTGAACTCTATTGAGTTGTCATCGTTGCAGTGTTTCGATTCAGAGTATTTCCGTGAAATGAAAGGATTTGTGGCAAATATTAAGAAAAGAAGTGGGATTGGTGATAGAGGTAACTCTGCCTATTTGAACAAGCCAAGAACAAATTTTCACAAGAAATCATTTTCACCATATAAGCACCACATTTGACATCTACAACAAGCATCAACACATTAGCTCATTTTCCAATCTACTTTTTCTCTTAGCACAAGAGTCAGATTTATATTTTGTTCTTGTTGCACACACAAATCGAGAATACACAAACGAACTGAGCCTAGCTCAGATGGTTATGTTCTTATGGTGAAAACTGCCCATTTGTGTTTAAGTCTTTGACTTGACATGGGTGCTCGTATTTTTCTGAATTTATTCCAAGATTTAACGGTGTTGTGCTTTCAGTGGTAGGCAACGTTCCCATCGACAGCGAGACGCTAGTGGTGACTTCACCAGTCTCGAGATGTGTCCGGCACGGTCTTTTAGAGGTGCTTATAGGGGTAGGATTTACGTAAGTATGTTCGTAGGGGTAAGTGTGCGTGCGTGTTGAGCGTCTACGTCTGTACTCGTGCAATTCGCAAAAAAAAAAAATCGAGAATACAGATAAATATATGACAGGATCACAACAGCTACTCGGATGTTGTAACTAACGATTGAAAAAGAATATAACTTCCAAGGGAAGAAACTGTCTGACATAATGAGACAATTAGTAAAGTCAGATATGCCGACAGCTTTTGTTTACTCTTAATATAAATGGTTTCATTGGAGAAATGCTGTAGAAAGAGTCTTGTGATCTCATAATAATGACTTCTCAACATTTTGTAGAACATGGAACTTGAAACCATTGCTTCTTCATTTGATTTGTTACCAGATCAGGGTTTGATTCATAGTATTTTTAAAAATGAAAAGATTTGTGGGAAATGGAAGCTCAATTTTGCAGCCAAAATGGTAGTTCCAAATTTTGCTTCTTGTGACTTGTGGAGCCCAAAATCATGCACAATTGCTTGGATAACGAACACGCTGTTCATATTGCAAGGTCAGAAAACCGGACCAATTTACAAACACCTGGAGTGTGGTAAAAGGAGCACTTGACCTGTGACAGGCATAATAACTTATATTGCATTAAGTATATGACTGCTGCACCAGGATATTGATTCCTGGGAACCCAGAGATATAAGTTGCAACAAATCGGTCTGTCCAGCAGAAGAGCGGCTGTCGAAGGCCTTTCTGTGCCAATTTTTCAAATGATCTAGAGCACCACACCATCGGCCTCTCCTACCAGGCTACCACTGATTCGGAGATTCAGGGAAGAAGGACGCTGCAGCAGAGGTCACAACAATAAGTGGGTGATGTTTCAGAAGCTGCTGGGCACAACCTGCAGTGCAACTCCATGCCAAATTGCCAATCCAGCTAAGGTGGTTGATCTCCAAAAATCACAGGATTGAATCAACGCAAAAGCAAATTAATCTTTTGATATGGTTTCGGAGCAGCATGAGTCGAAACATGGAAATACCAGTGCCAGTACGGTCAACAGTTTATCCTCAGCAACCTGCTTCACAACTCTCTGCTCTTGTTGAGGCGCGCTTTGCGCACTGCTTCTTGGATATTCTTTTCATGCTCCTTGAGCATCCGCTCCATGTTTCCCTTTGCTGTAATCATTGAACCTGAGTGCTGATATATTCTGCTTTTGCCCTTGTACCTCTGATCAGGTAGAAGTATAGCAAACAAGTTGTTAATGGCAGACAAAGAAAAAACACAAAAATACTCTGATGTAATGTCAAAGCAGCTATCTTGTTCCAATAGAAAAATAAGTCAATATGTGCAATGTCCACGCAAACTCTATGGATCTCAGCTTATACAACAATTGCAGATTATTACATAAACAAGCGCAATCGGTAGCATAGGATCCACATCATCGCAGAGCATAAAAACCTCTGTATCCACTGAATTCTGGAACTAACCAATCCCAAGAATTACAAAAAGGAAATTGTATAACCATGTCAACAGAGCAGAACAAAATACTTTGAGAAATAATAAGTGGAAAATATAATGGTACCAACAACAATTCTTCCATCGAGTACAACAGTATGTAAAATCAGTATTTAATAAGTACTGTACTTACCACAACTGAGCCCTTCGATCCCAGGTTGCTGTTCTGAGAACCAAGTACTTCATTCCTTGCATCAGCAGATTCAGGTCTAATCATAGCAACCTTTGTTTTCTCGCTTGTGAAAGGATTTCCATCTGTTTCGACAGATCGAAATCCACTTACACTCTCAGCTGCCTTTCTTTTCCTATTGAGACAAGAGGACAGTACATCAACACAACCAATAATTCTTCTCGATTGCAACCTCGCACACCCTGAAGCCAATAAGAAAATATTAGGAAAAATGGTACCTCATTGCTTCTTCCCTTCGAAGTCTAGCATCATACTCTTTACTTGGGGGATACTTTGGTAAGCTTGAGGGGCTGCAAGCAAGTGGTTTTTTCCTGAAAAACTACAGATTTTGGATCCATGCATTAGGTGCTGTACAAAATCTTCAAAAGGATGCCTTTGAATATCAGACAGCTGATCAATTTGTATGGACGCAGACTAGGTTTTGATAAACTACCTCTGAACTAGATAGAAAATCACAGAAAGAAACCACTGTAAATTTCCCTGGAAGCAACCGAAACTTCCATATGAAGCAAGTATTTGCACTTCACATGATAACATGTTTCGACTGGTAGTCAAGCACAGGGCAATTTCAGCTCAGTGACCAGGCACACTAGTTAGCATTAATTAATCTTTTAGGGGAAAAGTATTGACTAATTTCATTCATAGTAAGGGTTTTTACCCCTTTTTTCTTCTTAATATAACGATACGCAGCTCTCCTGCGTGTTCGAGAAAAAATATGATTTATCTTCATACTTTTGAACTAGTTCCTAATTGATGCATAAATAGAGTTTATTATTTCAGCAGTAATCATTAAAAACTCACGAAAACTATCTAACTTTCACTACAGTTAGGCATATATAGAAAGGAAAACATATTCTTTACTGGGAAAGGTAGCATCTGGTTCGAAATTGTCAACTGAGCCTCATTGGTGGTAGGAGGATAACTGTCCAAATACTAGTGTCCTTTAGAGCCCTATTTGTTGCTCTACTGCAATCAAGGCCATAACTTTAAGTGCTTTGGTATCATTAAATTTGAACTACTGAAATAACAAACAAGACTTCAGAAGCTGTTGCATGTCATATTCCAAACCAACAAAAAAGTCAACAGTGATGAGTAAAAGGTGTGTAGAACTTACATCACTTCGGAGAGCCTCAGCAGCTGTTCCACGAGCATCTGGTTGTAGTGCAAGCAAGTTATCTAGAAGAACTAGAGCTGATTGTGGAAAATCTTTAAATGTCTCAGCAATGCACGCACTATACTGGCGGCTGGGCTTGAACATCCCTGTCTGTGGTACTTCCAGTTTACTCCAATAATCACCAGAAGGTGATCCACAGAGCTTGAAAATTTTGTGAAGTTGCTCCACCTACCATAACATTGTTTGACGAAATCACAATACAGACTAAATGAGCATAAGGTAAAATTGTGTAACCTAAGATACTGGTATAGCCTATCCTGTATCATAAAAAATGTAACAGTTGCCTGTACCTCAGTTCTTCCGGGCAAGATTGGCCTGCCAGCAAGCAGTTCTGCAAAAATGCACCCTGTACTCCACAAATCCACAGAAGGGCCATACTTGGTGGCACCGAGAAGAAGTTCAGGTGGTCTGTACCACAATGTTGCAACACGGCTAGTCAGTGGTTGCTGATTGTCAGGATCAAATGAGGTTGCTAGACCAAAGTCTGCAATCTTCAGAACACCATCATTATCAATCAAGAGGTTGGAACTCTTTAGGTCCCGATGCAGGACTCCATTGCTGTGGCAATGATCAAGGCCACTGAGTAATTGCTGAAATAAACATTTGACCTGGATTCATGTGAAAATATTTAAGTTCATGTCACCTTTACAAATGAACCAGGATAGTATGACAATCACCTGTGGCTCAGTAAACTTAAGGCCTGGAGTCGCAGCAAGACCAACAAGATCATGTTCCATGTACTCAAATACAAGATACAGGCTTTGTGAAACAGAAGATGTTATGATCCCTTGCAACTTGATGATGTTTGGATGATTGAGTTTCCGTAGAATAAGAATCTCTCTAGCCATAAAGCGCACGCTCTCAGGCTCCACATTGAGAAAACGCACCTTTTTGAGTGCGACAAACTTGCCAGTTTTAAGATCTCGGGCTTTGTAGACACTGCTATAAGTTCCTTGTCCAACCTGCAATTGGAAAGAAGTTAAATAGTTAAAACAGAAGGACAACAGAAAAGGGTAGTTCCAAGAAGTAATAACATTGAAAACTAGTACCAGATTAAGCAACTTGTATCACCATATTAACAATTTACCTTGTCTAATTTCTCAAATGAATCTGGTCGCCGAGGGAACCAACCCTGTACTGCCTCTGGTGCCACATTTATGAGCCAATCTGGCCATCCAGGTTTCGCATGTTCATCTGATAATGGCCTAGCTACATGGGGGACACCCAATTCCAACTTATTCCCATATTTTCCTATTATGCCATTATGCCCACTGCTGATCCATATTTTCAGTCTATGGTGCATGCTTGGTTTCCTATGGTGGCCAACAGCTGGAACTGACGTCTCTTCATTGTCCAACTTGTAACTAGGAGCAAAACCATTTTCTTTTGGATGAGAAGTGAGCACTTCAGTATTTCCACCATTGGCAGTTGCTACAGTTGCAGAATCATTACTAGTAGACGGTGTGAAGAACCATTGCCAACATGTGCATCCAGTGGTTTGGCTTCCTGAAGTTGTGTCATCATGTTTTTTAGAACACTTAGGACAAAGGTGGCTTAGAAGCACATTTATGCCCTTCCACTTGACTGAATGCATCGGATCTGTATTAACCTTTGCAGCTGATTCTTGGCGAATATCTTCATTACCACAGAAGTTAGTGCATGAAGCCAGGCACTCTTGATCCGAAAATAGCCTTGATGAAATTCTTATTCAAAGTTCCAAACTAGTAATTATGAATGAGGTCTTCATGCAATTCTAGAGTCCAGACTGATATTTACTTGGAATTTCAGCGGGGAAAAACCTAATTACAAGAAACTCCAATATTAAATTGTAATTCAGAGAACTGAATAAAATTTAGATGTATAGATGGAAAGTTAACAATGACTGATGTCTGTCTGCCACCCACAAATTGTACAGCTCTATCTCCACAACCCAGAATTCAAATAAAGATTCTTAGGAATTCAGGCAAGGATGGAGAAAAAAATCTCACCTTCTATGGCCTGTGTCTGGAACAGACAATTCCTGTGATTCTACTATATTTGCTCAAAGGCATCATTGGGGCTACATAATAAAGGGGGAAATAATTTTCTTCACCATGATCAATACAATTGAAGTTCTTCACTGCAGCCAAAAACATGTAACACGAGGTGTAGAAAACCCAAAACAGGACCAATCGATATCCATAAGCATTAGACTGGAATCCCAAGCTAAAGAGGCAAGGAAGGGAAATGGGCTAATAGCAATAACAGAAAACTGCAATTTCCTAACAAGACAATTAGGATTTACCTCAGAACTTGATTCCTTGCTCTTCTTTTCCTTTCAAGAAAATATATTGGCAGCAAAAATTGAACAATGTTCCCCACCTTCCCCTTTCTCCATTCTAATCGTCAAATGGAGGAGAGAAAGGTGGGAAAAGTAATATGCAAAAAAGAAGTTGGATTAGAGTTAACTGCTCCATGATATGTTTTCTTGTTTCAAGATTTCTTTAGCTTTCCTCCCTTTTCTAGTCTAACAAAGAAAAGTACAGATAATTTCAAGAGGGAAAATAAATCACTATCTAAAAAAAGAGGGAAAATAAATTATCCGCACAGCACTCGGAGCAAGCAGGGAAAAATGAGAGAAGGTGAGGATTTCTCGAGAGCTAAATTTAGATTGTATCGCTATTTCTAGTTTTCTCTGTTCCTTTTATAGATACATAGATACATATATTAAGTCAACCAAACTATCATCAAGCATTCTAGGAGGAGAAGACATTGGAATAAGAACGGGGGAAACTACATTACCCAAGCCGTGACCTCCACAGCATCGGCGTCGGATCTTGAGGTTACGAGCTCCATGGCGCTTCTTTAAGGACAAGCCTCCATGAATGAATACCCTCTGCTATGGCCGTCACTAATCCGCGACGGCGGCAATAATCTTCTTCACCGGACACCGGCAGTGCAGCCATTGGATGTTGCGGGTGCAACAGGCCACTTGACGGGGACGGTAATCCAAGCTGCAGCAGATCTTCCACGCCCTCCGGGGAGCACCGGCCTCCGGCGACAGCTCGTCTTCCCTGAGTGCGGTGGCTCATGGCTGCAGGCGGTGGCGACGCTTTGCATTTTGTTAGTTGCGGCCCAAGCCACGAGATCAAAAAGGGCAGAGCTGGCACCGGCGAACACCGGGCCGTGCTGAGCCACAACGTGAGGACGATGAACGGCCCGCAAATAAAATGAGCTAAACACGGAAAGGCTGGGAAACTTTTTTTTTTAAATCTTCATTCGTCAGACTGTGCCCGCGCACAAGAGAAGGAGCCCACGCAGTGAGCGAGCGCCCCAGTAGCGTCGGACTTACGACCGGGCGCCCCACCAGCGGGCCCACGCCGCCTACCACTTCTCACACGTATCCTATGTGCAACATGGATCTATTTTTAAAACATCTAGATACAACACTTGTAAAATATCTAGATACAACACTTGCAACATAAAAAAAGACAGATAAAACACTTGAAACATGTGTCGGAAACACTTAAAAACACTTGAAAACCATTGCAAACATACACAGTATCTAGATAAAACACTTGCAACATACGTCTCAAACATTGGGAACAGACCTTGCATCATACGTGTACAAACCATTGCAGCATCTCGATCTACTTTTACAACATCCATCTGAAACATTTGCAACATATCTCTAAAACATCTAAAACACTTAAACATACTCTTACAATATGTGCTTTCAGCACAATATCTCCTTACTGCTCGGGAGAATGGAGGTTCGTCGACGCAGAGCTCGGTGCCGCGGAGCGGCGCGCGAGGGAGGGATGTCAGCGGGCAGGCGGATGTGGTGCCCAGGCGAGCGGCCCTAGTGCTAGGCGAGAGGGCGGCGCGGTGGAATGACGAGCGCTCGGTGAACTAGAGTGGAGAGGGTGGAACACTACTACAGATTGACTTATCACTATCGCCACTTTCACTGTCGTAGGGATAAAAGTGTCGGTGTGATACTTCCATCGTCTATTGGACCAATAGGGATGCCTCCTAAGGATGAAAACCGACAGTTAAAAACCATCAATGCGGCGGTGGTAGTGGGGTTGAATTCCACTGTCGTTTGGAGCGCTGAGTCGACTGGGATAGGCGTTATGGCCGCTGGCCCTACACGACCGTTTGGTGTACCGGCAGTAGTAAATTCAACGCGAGTTATTTTCCCATTTCTCAACTACCCACAACACAGTTGCATCACCATTACTTTCGTCTTCCTTGATGCTTTTTGTCGGTGTTTCGGATCACCGGCTAGTAAATTTCTAGTTTGCGTGTCTGGCCCGAATGGTGTGCTCGGAGAACACAAGAATTATACTAGTTCGGGCAGAACATCCCTACATCTAGTTTGCTACTGCTCGTGTTATCGACACTATCTGTAGTAGGGGTTACACATGGGCGAGAGAGGGAGCGGATCCTAGGTCTCTGGTGGAAGAATTGAAAAGTGCTGAGAGTTTGTTCAACTGCTTAGCCGTGTGCTCATGCCTATCTCCTTGTCTTGTGTTGCGTTATGTTTCCCTTTTATAGAAGAAGGGGAAGATGTAGGTTATATCAGAAAAAGAGAAAAGAGAGGGAAAGAGGGAGAGAATCGAGGAGAAGTCCTCTAGGACCGCCGCGTCCTTCTTTTCCTTCATGCGGATCCCATCGACGCTGTAGATGGTGACGGGGATAGCTCCATGTTGGGCTCCTGTTCACCACTGGTGCCATGCCTCGATGTCATCAGCTGGTCGTGGCATTCCATCCCGTCTCGGCGACGGTGTGGTGAACCGGCGTGCCTGTCAGTGGCTGTATGGGGATTAGGCAGCACAGCGCCCACACACCCATCACTGTGGTCATGGAACCCCAGGCGTGGCCTGTTGTTGCCACATGTCACGTCAAGGCGTGCTTATGCCCCTTCTGGTGTCAGAGGCTTGACCTAGGCCCACACGCTTGGACCCATAGTGGTTGGGGGTGGTACGGACCTCGCCGAGCGAGGCGGAGCCCGCGCTTGATGGGTTGGGCGGGATGGAGCCCGCGTCCGAGGGTTCGGGCGAGACGGAGCTCGTGCCCTTAGGGTCGACGAGATGACTCCTGTACCCTTAGGGTCGGGTGACACGGGGCTCATGCCCGAGGGGGTCTGGCGAGGCGAAAACTGTCCCTTCGGGGTCGGTCGAGACTGAAATATGTCCTTGATTATCTAGGCGAGTTGTCGTCCATGGTCCTTAGATCCCTTCTTTGGGTATCCCTAATACTGATACCGACTGTAGCCCCTGAGCCTACAGAGGAGTAGGATACTCCTTCATAGGCTTTTTCAGATGGAGGGACTTCTAGGGCTTTGATCTTCTACTGTCTGTGGGATGCCTTGGTGGGTTACAATCCCTTTTTGTTTCGACCGAACTCCTTGGGAACATGTAGCTACGGGATTCGGGGGTCGGAAAAGATTTCTCTTGATTCCGGTCCCTCCCTAGGATCCGATCGATCTGCCATCGTCATGCGACCACATATTCGGTCTCCTTACAAGTCCAACTTCCCTTGAGCCCCCGTGCATAGCAGGGGTCCGGTCGAGGGGTCAGCTCATCTTGTGATCGTCCTCCTCAAGCGTTTTTTTCGATAAAATGGAGGGGCTGAGCCGTGCCATGTTTTCCTCGATGGACGAATCATGGTGTTCGGTGAGCTGTTAATGGGCTAGTCCGAGTAGGGCCCCGGCTTCCCATTCATGGGGGTCCGACATGGGTCAGCTGGTGACCAACTCCAGATTCTTGGCGGCCAATCCATATAGTTCTTGGGTCCGTTCGACCGGTCCCAAGGGCTCGCTGCCTTTTTTCGAGGAAAAAACCATGGATTATGAACCGACCAAGACTAGAACGTGGGTCGAGATGCCTATGGCGCTCGTGCGCCTGGGTACTGGCTACTAGCGGGCCCATCCCTTTCCACCCCTCACTCTAAAGGAGCCCTAGAGCGGTTGGGAACCCGTCGGTGGGCCAACCTTCGAACTCCTGGGCCTGAATGGGCTGTGGGAGCATTTTCAGCTCCGTATCCCTCCTTACCTGTGGCGGTTCTTGGCCCATCGAATGGGCCAAACCATCATTCGATGCAGCCAGAGGTGGCGTGCACATGTTTCTCAAAGAGGCAATGTGACGAGGCGCGGCGGGCGCGTAGATCTAGGTGGACGGTCGCCTCTCGCTCCACCTTCCCTTATAAATAGCGGCCTTTCCCTTCATCTTTTGATACGCCTAACCACAGCCTCGCCTTCTTCGCTTCTCCACCGCCAGCGTTCGGATGTATTGCCTTCGCTCTTCCTCCGCCAGTGTAGCTCTCGTTCTTCTGCCCTTGCCTCCCATGGAGTTGTGGTATCACTCTGACGTCACCCACGCGCGCATAGAGGGCCTCGTCAAGCGCGATATTCTCCGCGGGAGGACCAATGCGGCGGAGTGGCTCGTGCCCGGTCACGAATAGGCATCAGCGCTGCCCGATGGCTACGTCGTGTCCTTCTCGCCCTTCCACGAGCGTGGACTCACGATTCCTCCCCATCTATTCTTCCGGGAACTGCTGCACCACTACCAGATTGAGCTGCAGCATCTAAACCCCAATGGGATCCAGCACATTGTGGCCTTCATCACGCTGTGCAAGGGGTACCTAGGGATCGAGCCCTACTTCGAACTATGGATGTACTTCTTCTCCATTTCCCTGCTTAAGAAGAGGGATAGAGCTAGGGACCTGCCGGTCATTCGCGATCGCTCACTCTCACTATGAGAACATCGATCTAGCGACGATGAGCCAAGGCTTCGCGCCTAGTTACTCCGATGCTGAGCTAGAGGACATCAAGAAGGAGGTGGCTCCTCTGGCACATGACTTATCTGCCAAGATAGAGGATGAGATCATTCCCCCAAAAATTAGCTAGTTAGATAAATGAAGTGGTGGTCTTGTAATAAATGAATAAGTTTTAGTTCTTTTTTGTTATAAAAGGTTACTGCATTCTGACCCTTTTTCATTGTTAGGGCTACAAAGCTTAAGGTGTGGCGAAAGAACCCTGATCACGCTAGTGGGCAAGAATGCCGTAGTCACTGGGGCATAGGTTCCTTGCAGTCCGACCAACTTTACTTAGTGTTCATTCCCACAGCTCTCGCTTTTAGATCTTAACGTGAGAAGGGGTCAGGCACAACGATTGTTTCTGAATAGGTATGCTCTTATCAGCCCCCGAGTGAGGCTCAACCCCATGCCATTACTAGGGTTGGGTGGCACTAAGGATTGAGGACGAGATAGCGAAAAAGAAAGCATTTTTGTATTTCAGAAACACCATTCTTAGTTTTCATGGGTACATGCATATATTAAGGGTAAAAATGACGTAGCTTCTCGATGTTCCATGCGTTGATGAAGACCTTGCCATCGATGGTCTTGAGCTTGTAGGTGCCAGGTCGGAGCATTTTTGCGACAACGTATGGTCCCTCCCACGGCGGAGAGAGCTTGTGATAGTTTTTGTTGCTTTGGACGAGGTGGAGTACCAAGTCCCCGACGTTGAAGGCCCGAGCCCACACCTGATGGCTATGGTACTAGCGCAATGCCTGCTGGTACTTAGTCGAGCAGAGGAGGGCAACATCGAGCGCCTCATTGAGCTGATCCATGGCATCCTCGAGGAACACCTCGGCTCCCTGCCCTGTCGTACGCCCTGACCCTCGACGCTCCATAGTCGAGGTCGGTCGGGAGGATAACCTCAGAACCTTAGACCATGAAGATGGGTGTGTAGCCAATGGCCCGGCTGGGGGTCATCCTCAGGCTCCAGAGCACCATGGGGAGCTCCACGACCTATCATCCGTCAAACTTGTTCAATTGGTTGAAGATCGTAGGCTTGAGGCCTTGTAGGACCATGCCATTCGCGCGCTCGACCTGCCCATTCGTGCGGGGGTGCGCCACGGCGGCCCAATCGACGCGGATGTGGTATTCATCGTAGAATCGAAGGAACTTTTCTCGATGAACTGCATGTTGTTGTCTGTGATAATGGAGTTTAGGACTCCAAAGCGATGGACAATGTCAAGGAAGAACAGCACGGCTTGCTCAGACTTGATCACGGAGATCGGCCGAG